ATTGCACTCGGCTTTTCCAGGGTGTAAACTAAAGGCTAAAAAGAACCCCTCAATACACACGAACACACCCTGTCTTACACGTCAGTGTTGGTTTGTCCTTTATGGGCTACTGAAAGAAAACCATTGCCTTCGTGAAAGGACCGCGCCCGTACGTTCAGAGGTAAAAAGAGGCTCAATTCCACTATCCAAACAAAAACATAAAGATTCTTATCTGCTTCTAGAAGCTACAGCCTAAGAATGTGAACGAGGCCATAACTTTTAATGTAAATTTGCCCCCTTTTCTGCTTACGATCCTTCTAAATGTCACACAAAAATCTACACCCGAGACACCCGAAGGCCCCGAGAGCGGCCAGGGGGAGGCCGAGGAGGCGGTCGGCAGAGACTACCGGAGAGCCCCCAACACCGCTTTATATACAGACAAGACACTGCTCTCCCTCATATATGGCTGACGATCGCATGCTCCCCCGCCCCACTCCTGTCCGCTCCTGCTCTAGTATTGAGTCTTATGGAGATTAATGAGCTCAGTAAAGAGTTTCCTGATGAGTTTCTGCTGTCAGTCTCTAGTGAAACTTTCAGTCTTCTTCCATACAGCATGATGTTCATTCAGTAACTGATGGTCCCATTAACTAAAGGTTTAATTCTCTATAAGTAAGTTTAAGGAGTGTAAACAGTGTTAGCTCGCCACAATATCCTGTGTCACACAATAAGAGGCGGGACAGTTTATTATTATTATACATTTAAATATTAGATTTAAATGTCAGTTAACGCGTTGGGATGCTACTAAAAACACAACAGAAAGGTATTGTCCATTTGTTGTCCAGATTAACTGACTGAAAATGAAGAATGGATTCGTAGTTATGAGACGAAGAGAGAGATTGATCCTGATACGTGAAGCCTTTAGATGTTCTTACTCTCCCCTCCAGGCCAGTGAGATGCTGCTGTTCAATAAGAAGCTGACGGCGGTTCAGGCCTGCGAGCTCGGCCTGGTCACCGAGGTTTTCCCCGACAGCAGCTTCCAGTCGGAGGTTTGGACCCGACTGAAGGCCTACGCCAAGCTGCCTCCCAACGTAAACTCACACTGACATATTTAATCCGCTCACATCGGCTTTTTTTATCACTTCTCCTCCTCTTACTGATCAGCTTCATGGAGCCTTCGTGGTTTTAAAAATATCAATTTCATTTAGTCACTGAGATATAGGCCTACTGTCAGAAAGAAGAATAGTCTGAAGTCTGATTAAATGATAAAAATACAGAGAATGGATCAATACATCAGGAAAACTCTCTGATCAATAATCAAACTGCAGTTACTGAGTTACTGTGTGGTTCATTGATCAGTTGATCAGCTGTTCTCTGCTGTTATTGATACTGATCAATATGAAGTATAAGTAAATACAGTCAGTTTAACAGTGATAATAAAGGAAGAAGGTCGGGAGCATTATTATAAGTCCTGTGTGTGTGTGTGTGTGTAAAGAGAGTGGATTAATAAAGTGAATCTACTCTCTCTCTCTGTCTCTCTGTCTCTCTGTCTCTCTGTCTCTGTCTCTCTCTGTCTCTGTCTCTCTCTAAGCAGCTGATCCGGTCGATGGAGAAGGAGCGTCTCCACGCGGTGAACGATGCGGAGGTGGAGCGTCTGGTGGAGCGCTGGATGTCGGACGAGTGTTTCAACGCCGTCATGAGCTTCTTCCAGGCTAAAGCCAAACTCTGAGTGTGTGGTTGTCTTGTTGGGGGGCCTTTTCTGTATGAAGATCGCAGGTCGAGTGGGGACCACAGACGGGTCCTGATAGAGTTAGGGGAGAGTTAAGGGTAGAGGTATCTGCACTGTGTGTGTTTCTGACGATGATAAATAGTCTTTCATTGTAAACTGTGGTAGAAGCAGAAACATCGACATATTCCAACATAATTCTTCTACATGTTTTTTATTTGCTCTGAGAAATTGAGCTGATTAGCTCTTCGCCACTGAAGTCAGCGAAAGAACGAATGGGTTCTTTGATTTTTAAGTGACTTTGTTGCGTTGGCTGATTTTCTCACGTTAAGATCAATTCAGGATTAGAGTTCCACACAGGAGACGCCGCCTGGTCCGCTGATTATCCACAGCTGCTGCGTTTACGTCCTGCAGCTCGTCGGTGTTTAACCAGTGACTCTGTTAACTGGAGGCTTTATTCAGCTGAAAGGGTTAACAGAGGGAGAGTGGAGCTGAGCGGGAACTGAGATTAAACTTCGTCCCTCACAAACTAATTAGTGAAAACAATAATAGATGGTAATATCGCACTGTTGAGCCTCCCTAAATCTCCACAGGTTGAAATCCCTTCACAACAACAGCTCTACTTTCACGGTTGGTTTTTATTTTGTAGCTGGAACAAATCTCTTCTTCAAGTTTGTCCGTCTGTAGACTTGAATCATGATCTAACGTGTGTAACATGAAGAACTCACTGTGTATTTGAACTGTTAAAGTGCCTTAAACACTCTGTAACATCAGGTTCAAACCCGTGCAATAAAAGTCAGAATTGGTACTAATTCAGAGGAGGGGAGTTGTGTTTTCTGTAAAAGCAGCGGAGGTTACCATGGCGATCTCCCATCCCAAAGCTGGGTCAGCACCAGAGAACCAGAGTCAGACCCAAACACAGCTGGTAACCTGTTGCCTTCGTTGTTTCTGTTTTCATGAAATCAAAAACAGTTAGATTTTAAAACTCAAAGATAAAAATAACAATAACTTTGATTTAACAACAGTGTAAGTGTTTAATAGAAGCTTCTCTAAAAATGAGATAAATAGATGAAGACAAAAATAAAATCAATAAGCTCTATATAAAATACATTTATTTTATAATGTATTAGTGTAAATAAAGAATAGTCTGTTAGGATATGAGGAACACATACCTGACACACAGCAGATCACAATCACAATCAGAATTTTGTTTATTGCCAAGTAGGTTTTTACGCCTACGAGGAATGTGACCTGGTGCAGTTGGTGCATAAAATATACACATAT